TAACTTTTAGGGCTCAGCTAGTTAAAAAGAAAAAGAAAAAGCAAATAGCAATAAAGCTGAGTTGGGCATCAAAACCATTGGAGCGGCAGAGGAAACAACTGCCAAACACACGAATACTGAAAAATAAACAATGAACGATAAACGATAAACGGCAACCGGATGCAGTGCCGCAGAGCATCCGGCAAAGAACAGGAAGAGCGCTGCAGGACAATGCTGGGTATGCTAAAAAGTTATTGGCGCAACAGCTGCTAAACATTTTTTAAACTCACAAACCAACTCACTCCAAGCCAGAGAGCAAAAGGCGCCACCCATAGCAGAAGTCAAAACAATTGACGACAATCATTGGCACAGACAGAAGCACACAAACACACAAACACTCACACCCTCACACACACACACACCCTCACGCACACGTAGGTTGTTAGGTGGACTCGAACTGGGACTCACCTCCAAAACGACACCCTCCAGGGCGGGCTGTGAAATGTTCTTCAGATTGCTGTGATTCAATTTGGGCGCACTGTCGGCACGATTTCGGCCCAGTGATTGATTTGACGTTTTGTTATCGGCTTTGCTCAGCATCGAATTGTTGGAGGACTTGTGATTAATTTCGAGTGCCGAACGCAGTATATCCACCTTGGAGGCGCTGTTGCCAATGTTCCCATGCCGGGGCACGCCCCTCAGCGACTCGACATTGTAGCTGCTGCGGCGCACGGATAAATGGTCGTGTATGTCCGCCTGATCGATAAATTGTAATTAAAAACTTCTTTGCGTATCGCTAGCTTGGACTCACCCTCGAGCCTCTGGGCAGCGATGTCAGGCTGCCAATCTGATTGTACTTGATCATTAGGCTCAAGCGTTCCAGCGACATCGATGTGCCCTGCTCCTTGGTCGCCGGCTCGGTCAGCTTTTCGGTCTCGCCAGCTTCCACAGCCTCAACCTCCTCCTCGGACTCCTCCGTCGTGTGATCAAATTTGCGTAGCCAAATAAGATGCAGCAGCCCATACGCAATTCCGCCCACCACGGCAAGCAGCCCCATGTAACGGAATGCATCGCGTGTGCCGAACTGGCCGATGAGCAAGCCGCCCGTAAAGCTGCCGCTGCCGCGTCCTGTGTGGATAAGAACATTCATTACATGTTGCCAGAGTACTTTTTAGACTTTCAGACTTGCCCAGGCTAAAGTGAGCCATGCCAAGTACGCCAATCAGCGTGGCGAGTAAGTTTTTGGGTGCCAATATGGAGCAGTAGGTGGCAGCTGCCACCCACATCAGGTGGCAGGAGAGCGATTCCATGGCCTCGAATGGAAAGCACCACCAGGCGTTCCTGGGAAAAACTCGATGCTGCCATAAAATTAGATTACACGCACATGTTTGGCACACTTACTCGATAAAGGAATAGCCCACTAGGCGTCCGGCGTGCGAAAAGAACGCAATGATAATCAAATTAACGTGTCCAAATATGCGTGTGATTTTCTCCGCACCGTACAAGAACGGAATGCTGCTCACGGTGCCCACAGTAATTGTAATGCCTGGAATATAGCCCACACGAAGCCCATATTAACAGATGAGCTCCTTGCTGATGGCATTGCGGCAGAACTTACCCAACAAGTAGTTAGGAGCGCCCAGCTCCTTGAGATACAAGAATAGAAAGCTCTCGATAAAGCCCCAGAAATTGCCGAGCACAAACAGAAATATTATAAAGGCAATCACGTGCGGCATTTTCAATAGATTCCATAAATCCCGAAAAACATTATCTGCCGGCAGCTTCTCGCCCAGCGGCATCATTAGCACGGACATTGTCGATATGACCAGCAGCACATCGTACGTATAAAACGCAGCCGAGTAGTCTGTGTAACCCAATCCGCGTGACGAGTAGTCAATCATGATTCCCGTAATGGGCGAGAAGATGGCCATCCCAATGCTCGAAAACAAGCGTTCACGTCCAAAGTCTCCTCCGAACTTCTCAATCATCGTGAGTGCAATGGGATCCATAATGGTGACTCCTGCCGACAACATGGTTGTGGCAAGAAATCTGAAAATTAAATAAGTAATTACAACTTTTTCGACTGTACAATACTCTATATAACAGATTATATTCTGACTCTCACATTGCTACTTGAAGACTTAAAAATATATAGATAATTGTGATAACTTGAACTAAGTCTTTACATCTAATTTACCTCTAGTATTCACGAACATATATGTATACACGGTAAAAAACTGAGAAATTATGCTATTAAACAATCTACACCAACCAATATGCCTGCTTTCCTTTTGAAAACAGAGTATGCTAACATTAAGCTACATTCTTTTATCAAGTTTAATTTAGATTTTATTTAACCGTTTACTCAATGTCTCTCAAATAATCCCTCAGAAATAGAACTTTTCTATTGAGTTAATACCCAGCCAGCTCGGAAAAACTTTAAATTTCATTGCACGTGGTAACAACATTAAAAAGTTAATACTCAATATAGATTTGGAGAACATATACATGGTCAGCCAGAACACGACTTTAAGCCGATCCGATTTGAGCCCAGAATTTCCTGTGTTTTTACTCTGAATATAACCCTAAGCCAGATGGGCTAAGTTCGTAACAGCAGAAACTTAACCTTAACCGAAACATATTTTCTATTTGAACTAATGCGCAATAATGAATTAAATTAATAATAAATAGAATAGTGGAAATGTAATTGGATCAATCCCAAGCCAAGCCAAGGCGAGGCATTGGTTTGAAGCGTTTTATTAGAATCTTAGTCTACGTACCGTAATAAAAAGTATATCCAGAATATAGTATCGTCGGTTTCTTTGTAGTCAGGTGGGCAGATTTCGGGTGCATTCAACGTGAACGTGCAACGTTGCATGAGGCACCTAACGGCCTTTGTGTTCACATAGGACATGTTGGTGCGCCTAACCAGGCCTCCGCATCGTAAATCCAGGTCGTCCATGTCCGTGAGATTGATTTGCATTTTCACAAGCCTGTCCTCGCCAAAACGTTGCCTAATATCGGTGACCGTCTCGTTGTCATCTTGCTCGATTTCCATGCCCAGCTGCTCGGTGGGGTCCGCCAAATCGGGATGCATTTGCAGCATAAAGTACGTCACATCCGCATCATCCGAATGCACCCAACTGCTGCTGGCCTTTGATTTGTCGCCCGCATTGCCCGCAGAAACTGAAAGGACCCGTATGATAAGTATGGGCTAATAAAGCTTTAACTATTACAGACAACCAAAAGACTTTTTCACTACACTAATTGGCCAGGACAAACTATAAGCCGAGTGTTTAAACAGCTGCAGAGTAGATCCATGCTAAAAAACCATCTCGTTTGCTTTGGGGTACTAAAGCAAACGTTTCACATTTTCACTTTTTAAAGGAAAATAATAACTTCGCCAAGTTAAAGGTAAAATGCCCCCGCAGATGTTTAATTCCTATTTCACAAATGTTTTCAAAAAAAAACTCTATTCTTCTCTAATATGCAACGATAATGTTGGATATGGATTGACTAGGGAGGACTAGAGATTTTATGAAGTAGATCGACATTGATAATATTTTGGCTCGATCCGACTCCGACATATTCAACATATCCGATATTTTAGTTATTTAGTTTGGTATGGAAGATACAAAATATTAAAAATATAAAGTTGTCCTAATCAAAAATACATATACTTTGCATAAAAGATATGTTTTCCCTTTAAGCCATATTCAATGGGTTCGGGGCATAAAAAACACACTTGACATGGAAGCGGACACAGATATGGACAATGTGAAAGAAGAGCCTGGACGTCTGGTGTGAATGACTCGGCTGACGGCTAACAAGCAGCCTGAGGCTTGGACCTAATGATAATAAGAGCGAAGCTGACCAATTCCGTGAACGAAAGAGGGGACAATGGATGGATCATCATGTAGAAGTGTCACTTACGATTCAATCCCTGCATGGACATGGCTGACAATTCCACTGCTGCCGATGAAGCAGAGCCAGAGGGTGGCTGCTGCACTTGCAGCGACAAGGCAGAAACGTTCTCCAGTGGCGGGAACATGGTCGCTGACATATTAAGTGCATCTTGGTATCGACTTCTCGTTTGTGTTGCAAATAATGCTGGTAATGACGACGCTGGTGAAGAGGTCGTCGACGTCGTTGTGGTCACCAAGGCTGGCTCATTCGCATTCATTGTCGGACCGAGCGTTGTTCTCGTCGTGGTCGTCCTTGTTGTTGACCTGTCATACTGCGCCACATCGGTGAAAAGTTCTGGATTTACTTGCTCCTGCATTAGACAATAGTCAACGCATTGATATACAGCCAAATCCAGCTCGGGCTCTTCGGGACACTCCCTACTGGGGCAAGGTGACCACCAGACCTGCAAGCGATTAACAAAACAGAAAAACATTTTAACTCATTTCATTGAATATGGTAAAAATGTACAATTGACACAAGCGTTCAATTAGGAAGCTCGGTCATCCCACGCACAGAAGGCTTATCGAGAAATATCTCTTTTAAAATAAAAGATATCATATTTTTAGATAAATATACACACATTTCGATTCTATGTGACCCTAGACCCTAGACATTACAAATCACCGAAGGTCTTTAAGCTTGCATTATCAAAGTTTTGGGACTGAGGGACATCGCGTGCGGGTGTAACCTCAGAGCTGGGTATAGGATATTTCTAAGTTAGACCCTTTCGACAAGAGCACCCCTCCTTAGATTGGACCCCAACATCATATTACGTGCATTGGACCATGATATTCTTAACAGAGCTCCTCAATTCTCCTAGCTTGCGTGTAAGTAACAGCCATAGAAACGATCCGATCAAAATTGAGGTCGTATATGAAAATATTCCGGAATATAGAAATTTACTGCGAATCTGATACATGTCCGCAAGGGTATTCCACTTGGAAATGAAGTGAGACCAATTTCTTTTGCTAGTATTCCATCAGTTTTCCTTCCATTTTGGTGGCATTACGAAAATCCTCACATAGCATTGCAGTAGGCATTTCAAAGTGAATAATATCAGTAAATGAAAGCCAAACAGTAGTAAAGCTTACAACTAGGAGAAAACAGAAAGTAAAAATTTGAACAATTATAAAGGTTGACATCAAATAAAACTCGATGTCTTCGATACAAAGTAATACATGGAGTGAGCAGCTGCGTGAAGTGATCAGTTCACCATTGGGAATTGTGGCGATGACCTGCTTCGTGGGTTATATGGCCTATACGCACATACGCCGGGAATATCCGACCTACGATGACGAGGACTACGAGAAGGAGGGGCACGTTAAGATTCCGCCGCCTCTGGAGAATCTCACCCTGACCAGGGAGAAGCTCGAACAGTACGATGCAAAGAATGCCAACGGCAGGTATCTGGTCGCCTTACTGGGCACCATCTACGATGTGTCCAGTGCACCACACGACTTCGGACCGAACGGCAGCTACGAAGCACTGGCTGGTACCGATATTATGTGGTACATTCGGAATACGGCCCGCTTCGAGGCTCGCGATTTCAATAGCTATCTGAACGAGTGGAAGAACATGCTCGAAGATCACTTTTATGCAGCTGGCGTGTTAATAACAGACAGCAACAACGATGTTTCGGACTCAGATGAAGGCACAGTCTACGATTCGGCCAACGATAAAGATGAATATACCGAGTTCAAAGTTGAAGGGAATGATGGCGAAGAAGAGGAGCTGACGGCCACAGTTTACGAAGGCTCTATTAATATGGATGTGGAGGATATTGATAAGACGATCATCGACTGGACTGAAGGAGATAAGACTATTTTGGCCATGTAGACCAGTTCTGAAAAGGTTTATGGCTGCTCTACTAACACCATATTTTGGCAATAACAGCTCGCCCAACGCAGCACTTAGACTGATAAGCCATAAGCCTAGCCTTCGAGCATAAGCCCAGCATTACACTAAAACATAAATAAATATTCCCCTATTTCGTTTATCTGCATATGCAGCCGTCGTCGTCCTCGTCCTCGTCCATGTCCACGCATATATCCATTACTAATTTTAATGCGAATCGAGAAATTCAATTCCAGGAGTATGAAAGACAACAGCATCCCCGTCTAGCAGTGCCGGCAATAATAAAAATGGTAATTTCCGGCAACATCGAGTCCAAATACAAATTTCCCAAATGGCAGCCCTTACTGGAAAAGTGTACCACAAGCCACAGGGCAAAGAACGGCATCATGCTGCTGGAGATGCAACAACCTTTAAAATTCCTGAATATCCTTTAAATGCAATTTGAAAGTATAAACAAAATATACATAACTTTAAATATGTAGTATACAATCGCCAAAGAAAAGTTTATTTGACATTTAATAAATAATCAAAGCAATTTGAAAATCAACTTTTGCTCCGATTTGACCCATTTTTGAAGCTCCAATGCATAATACTTAAATAAATATCTTGGCTTTCGAAAAAGCAAAAAAGAACAATTGTGTTCCCCAAGGTTTAAACCGGCTGAACGACCTGATGCATCAGACAAGGAGTACGCTGTGCACACAAATGGCTGAAGGAATTTTCCACTGTCGCAATTGTTTCGTCTTGGTGACAACATATTTTCGGTGACCTGGCTCTTAAACGGTTGGATAAATAAATTCACACATTGCTTGACGCTGATTTATACGAGTATATATTACAAGTTTGCAATCTAGCCTCGAGAGCGAACAGATTGTGCTCCTTTGGGCAGTCGGCCAGACAACAGTTGGAAGGAAAGCAGAAAATTAATGTTTATTTCAAATTTGCAATAAAAATGTTCAACACTTAGTAAACGGAGACCAACAGCCAGGTATAATTGATACCAAAAACAAAATTAATATTTATATAGTCCTTGTTGATACTACTCTCTGCGACTATTCACATCATTATACCCTTCTAGTTTACCCAAAGCCATGTCAAAATTGGAGAACTACATCATATATAAAGTCACTTTCAAGGCTCTATATCGGTTAATTCTCAGAATCTTTAAGAGCTAGAGACTTAAATTGAACGTATGTCCTACCTATGCCCGCGCAGTCCGATAACTTGCCCCATTTCCATGCTTTCGATAAAGTCGATATCTGTCTTTGTATATAGAATCTGTGCTGTATACACATATCTTTTTTGATCCCCCCCTATAACCATGCACTATGAAATTGTAAAAAACTCATGTTTATATCCTGATAATGTCCGTGTGTGTATCTGTGTTTTTGTACAAGAAAGTTAGAATGTTTGTAAAGCTAGCTCGTCGTGGGTTCAGGTCCTTCTATTAGAACACTCTTGATTAGAGCAATCATAAATGCTAGCTATACCCTTGCAGAGGGTATGTAAATTATGCCATGAAATGTGTAGCTATATATATCGTTGATCAGCATCAAAAGTCGAGTCGATATCCATCTGTCCGTCTTTCCGTTCGTCAGTCTGTTGCCAACTAGTTTCTTCAGGCAGTTAATATGTCGAGACAGACCGGATCAGATCACTATAACATTGGAAAATTAAGTTCTTGTATGAACAACTAATTTGGTTTTCAATTATATCTTCCCCGAACAATTCACAATTCTCCTCACACGTCTGTAAAATCGTAGGCCCTTTGCCTTCAAGGGTATTTATTCTTCGACCAGCTGCATTCTGTCGTTCTGTCTTGTCTTAATGTATTTTATTTGCAGAGATCATAAATACAAATTCAATACACACCCTAGCCATGTATGTGGCTAAGTGTCGAATGACTAATGCGAGAGTGTTTCGAGTGTGCGTATCTCAAAGTAGAGGATACTTTGCGCAAATTCTCATTTAGGGCAGTGCGTGCCACTGGCATTGGTTCGGGACCACAACGAGGCCCTTAACACGCAGGTCCATTGCGTTTCATTACGACTAACGACAACGGGGCTGTTAAACTTGCCGTATTGCAGTCCACATTCGTGTGTGTGTGTGTGTGTGTGTGCGAGCGGCATACGTGTCTGTTGTCGGTGTAGTTTAAGTGCTGCAAAACGACACAAAGATAAATGTACGTGATACAGACACATGCGGAGCTGACGTGCACTCCTGTGCACATAAGTGGATTTTTTGGCATTGCCTCCCTGCTTACAAGTTCTTCAGGTCTGTTGTTAGTTCTGCAGTCAGTTCTTAGATGCCACCTAGTCGACAGCTTTAGATGCTGGCATTTACTATTTCCATAGTCATTTTTTTGACATCTCCATAGGAAAGGTATTTCTGCTTTGTTTCCAAAACGCTAGCAAAAAATATACCCATTGAAAAGAGCAAACAGGGTATGTTGAAGCTGTTCAAATATATGTTATAGGCAAAAGAAAACATCTTAATATATTGATTTTCCATTCTAGAGCTTAAGATATTAGATTGAGAAAGTTTTCATATACCCATTCTCTCTGGCCCAAATACATTCGGAGGTAGATAGTTCTTAAAGTCGTACAGACATGCTTAGACAATCAGGAATGCGTTTTTCTATTTTGTGTGATTTCAGATGCCCCATTAAGCCTTTTTTAAATAAGTACAGAGTATTCAATCGTATGCACTACAAGTGTGACAAATCAAATCCCACACAATTACTTACAGCTAGAGCATTTTTCTAATTTTATAGTTTTCTACGCTAGCATTTGCTATTCAATTTGACATTGTGGGAATGCTTTTCTTGCAGCCCTGCTCTGTTAATATATTACCAGATAAAAGCGCTTTGCGAACGTATAAAAGACAATTTAGTGCTTAATATTTTATTATGACAAAGGCAGCAACAGCCGGACAAATACCAAAGGCAATAAATGCCTGAAACAACGATAACACAAAAATGTCCACATTGCCGGACTTATAAGCATAAAACACAAGAAATACAATGCATAAAAATGAAATCCCCCAGGCAACAAATTTTGCCAATGCCTCGATGTCATGCATCAGCATTCACAAGGTCCAACATTTGCTACATTCGACAGTTATTTGCCATATTCAATGATTTTACATGACACAAATTTATGCGCCTGCAAAAAGGCAATTTAAGCAGCCGAATACTATGCAACACAAAAAGATGCAACATCTGGTACAGGGCGACCCAACGCAGACAGACAATCTGGCACACACTATGCGTATGCGTAATATGGTGTGTGCATGTGTGGGTGCGTGTGTGTGCGTGAGCATTTGTGTGTGCCAGTAGCTGCATTTGTGTCTGCGCCAACGCGAGTCAGGTTGATGGGCTCGCAGCAACGTGTAGTCAGTCGCTTCCAAAGTTTTCCTCTCTCTCACTCACTCTCTCCAACACACACATGCACACATGCACACTCATGGAGAAGCTCAGTTGGTGTGCGTTTTATAGCTTTATGTGGGCGTGCGCCTTAGTGTATGAGTGTGTATTGATAGTGACAGCGTTATGGCGCCTCGAATAAAAGCCGGCTTTTGTGCTGCTGCTTCTTGCTCTTCGCAAAGTATATAGACATCCAGCAGGGACCACGAGACAGACACGAAATACGTGTGCCACAATTGAAAACGTGTCCGTTGCAGGGCTTTTGGATTAAGTAAAACATGCCCTAGACAAAACGAAATGAACCATATCGGACATACAATACCCATTGAAATTGGCTGAAAAAAAGGCTATAGTGAAATTGTCAAAACTTATTTATCAGCCAGGTTGATACATATATATTTATTGCTGATAAATACCCATAGGCGGGTAAATCAGACCTTGTTGGTAGTCGAAGTAAATTGGTAATGCCCAGATTAAGTTGATTTTAAAAAAAGATAAAAGTAGTAGATTTAAAGTTCCGGTTGCTGATTAATAATGCATATATTTTACAGTATATCCTCGTTTTACACATTTGCACAATTTCATGATGCCTTTTTGAACCATTTTTGATGGATACAAGGTGTAACAGGTGTTTACAGTGAAATAAAATCGGAAAAACTCCGGCTAAGTTATTCATGCGATTTCTTAATGACTAATGTATGATGACTAATGAGTAATGACTAATGACTCATTAATACTGACTAATGACGCATGACTATATCGAAACGCCTATTGATACTGATCATAGTTACTCATATTATACTTATAAATACCATAGGAGCGTCTTCTTATATGCGTTAAATATCTCTTGACTTAATTACAACAGCTTGTAGCCTTTATGCGGCTTAATTATACTTGACGTACGTGGGTGAGTCTTTTTTCCTAAAGTTTACAAACCCTTGTTGCTATTAGGTCTGCCTCGAGTTCCTTCTTCATGCACCATCTGCCAAACAGCAACAAAACTCAGTGGCGAACAACCAAAACTGTGTCCCACTTTAGCTTTGGCCAAGCTATTGTCAAAATACCAAATAACAACCACGACAAGGAACCATGAAGGAGGCGCATTTAATCTACTGTGCAACAGCTGCATCAGGTTTTAGAAGTTGTTGCTTGCAACCTTATGTACTACATCTGGTAGATGTGCTTGTGTGCGTGTGTGGGTGTGTGTTAATGTGCAGCAGTATATCAGGCTGCACTCTACATAAAAGCTAAGGCACAATCCAAGGCTGTTGCATGAATTTTGCATTTAACTAAACGTCGATCTGCGTAGCTTTTAAGAATTTAAGGCCATTTTCAATTGAATTTAATGCCAACAATGATGGAATATAGCCGAAAGATTCATTTATCCAATTTGTGTGCTTCAAAGTAGGATTCGAGCGATTTAAGTAATTAAAGAGAAAATTTCAGCAAAGGCAAACTTAACAGAGTTTTGTAGTTGCTGCACTTATTGAAATGGATGCTTACCTCAGTGTCGCCGCTCTCCGGATGCCGTATTACAAATGCCGATGGGACCACTCCAGGGATCTCCTGCTGCGGTATGAAGAGCAGCGAGTGATGGAAAATTGCATTCAGTAGAAGACTCATCACAACGACTGGCTTGTATTTGCCAAATTTGTCAACGAGAAAACCTGCACCGTGACAGAGAAAAGTAGAGAAGTGGATGCCAAGTTAGAGCTCCGAATAAACGAGGTTGTGATATGTGTGTGTGTGTGTGTGTGTGTGTCTTTTAGCATCTGCATCTGTGGCCTGGCAAAGTGTGGCCTAAAGTGGGCAAGCTTTATCAAATATGTTGACTACATTGACAAAGTTGCTCACAACTTAGTTACAGATTGAGATGAACTAGCTCAGATGCTGGACAAATTTAATTTAAATTCATGTTCTTGTGGTCCTGTCTCCATCCTGACATCATGAGCCAGATTTGTTTACAGTGCATAAGATTAATTAATAATATATATAAATGTGCATACAACAATAACATAATGTATGCATGGGATTTTATTTCAACTACTATACGAATATAATATTA